TGAAGCCAGTAATGACTCGAAATCACGAGAACAGGAGCTAGAGTTAATGGAAGCTCTACGAGCATTGATTTCGAAAGACGATTCAGCGATAGCATGGGCTAAGCGTAAGGATGCCCTTTGCTTTGTCAGGTTCGTGGTGGATCGCATCCCCACTCCTGTGTTGGGAGAATGTATAAAGATCATTCGGCAAAAGGGAGTTGATTGCGAAAGGTACTTCCTTAGGGCACTCCTAGAGCTATATCAGGACATGCCATTGACCGTGCCAAACAAGGAGTCGAATGATATGGAAAGCTATCGCAAGTTGGAAGAGGTGAGAAGATACTCCAACAAAGAATTGAGAGTGAGCAGAGACTTGATTGAAGCGGCCAGAGGACAAAAGGAGTTTGCAACACTAGGGAAACTGAAGTCGTTCCAATACGTGTCTGGCATACCGGGGATGGCGTATAATCCCTTCGTGAACGAAGAAGCCAGGGAAGCATACTTCGACTACGAGCAAGTCACAGTGCTCAACTTCTGGGTTGAATGGATTAAGGAAATTGGAATGTTGATGGTGGAACAACCCAAGCTTGGAATTATTTTGGAAGAACGAGTAGTCGAGCCCTCGATTCCCGAGCTAAAAGGGCAAAAGAGTTTTGATTGTGGTTCTTGGGACGGTCCCTTGAAAACCAGTCTAGTAGTGATGTGGGAACTCATGAAACCTTCCTGGTGTCCCCATCCTAACGCAGGCTTAATCTGGGACATGACCGCGGATGTCATGTTAGAACGGGATGATGATGCGAGTTTACATGATCTGGCCATGATACATCACCTGCTGGCCATGAGATTGACGAAGAAGAAGAGCAACCCGTCCACGGAGCTGTCCGAGGAAGGTACATCGAGTAATTGGTTGAAGCAAGGCACATGCTTGGCTCAACACAGTGGGATGGAAGGACATGTTTTTAACCTGGGACACTGACTGATTACGCTAAGCGAGCAGCATCGACAACTGGCACGATTGTACGGAAGATTGAGCATGTCAGATAAGAGTGCCATGGAGTTGGTCGCAGACTGCCATGGGGTGACGGACGTAAACCTGATCACAGCCTTGGGATTTTGCAGCATGACGAGTTCGATAGAATCGCTCGAGCGCTTGGAGCGTGCCCATGAGCTAGTGACGTCCCTCAGCGTGGAAATATTCCTGGAGCATTACAGACAGAGCAAAAGATTGGAGGCTGGCGAGAAGCCCTAGAGAATGAAAGGAATCTGAAGGATAGTGAAGCCTATCACAGACCTACTGGTTCAAAATATATGGTGGGTTCAAGCTCAGCGCCGTATTGTAATAGCAAGTATCCTACGCACATGGTGGTGATGGATGCGAGGACGCAACAAGTGTTGGTTGACCAACTTTTCTCTGTGCCAAAGTGCGTGAGGTTGGCCAGAATGTCAGAGAGGTCATATGACTTGTTGGCAAAGATCTTTCGGGCAGTCCCGAAGAGATCCGAAGGCGAGTTGCAAGACGTTGTGGGTGAAGAGTTCATGAGACTGAACGAAGGCAACGTGAGTGAGTTCCAGAAACAGAAAGCGAGTGGAGCGTTACCCACTGAATTCCCCACCATAGAAGAGAAAGACGATTTACATAGAATCCTGATGGAAGTGGAACCGTTGCTGGGAGCCTCAGGGTATCGGACCCGAAGGAACATAGTGAGAACCCATGGGGAGTATCCTTGCCACTGCTTGGCGCAGACGTTGTGGTTCCCTAAACGCGGGAATCTGATCCTAGTCTGGGAAGTGGAGGAGTTGTACTCCACGGGGTTGCCCGATCAGAATCAACAAGTGTCAATCGTGGTGGTTAGCGCCATGCTAGCAGTGAGATTGTTGGAGGCTAACGCGGACACAAGTGAGCAGGAGACGGCCGTGCCGACTCCTGAACAGTTGAGCAACGTTAAAATGAGTCGTGAATTGGATCTTTTCAGAACCACCATCAAGGTTCTGAGAATACCTAAAGCCATTGAAAGAATATGGTCAAGGCAAAGATTGATGCCTTGGTTCCGTGCAGTGATGACATCTTGGATGTATGAACGCGCGAAGCGTCACATGTCAAGGAACACGGAAGCCTATCAATCTTTCCAGCTAGATATAGGACCAGGAGCCTATAAACGAGCATTCTTGACGCACAGAAACGCGGTCACCACAGCGGTGAAGCGGGTAGCTGGAACGCCTTGTGTTACTGAAGATGAGAAGAAAGAGGTCTTAAGAGCTGACCTAGAACGAAACGTGAGCCTATGTCTTCACAACAGCTTTTGCAGGAACCGGGAGCAGAAAGTGAATGTGGACTTCCTACCTTGTTGCATACCGAGGCTGTTGGAACAGGAGGGTTGAGGCACGGCCCGCAACTCTCTGGACATGTTAGAGAAAGTTCTGGAAGACAGTGACGCTGAACATCAGGATGGAGAAATGATGGAGTGAAGATGACCAAAGAAAAGAAGAGAAGGAGAGAAAAACTTGATTGTATTTGTGTGCTAAAACTTGAACAAATCAACCAAGTTTTGATTATTGAACTTGTTAAACTTTTTGTTTTGATCTAGTTTGGTCAGACCAAACTTTGAAAATGTTGCAATTCTTAAAATTGTTGAAATTGTTGATTTTAGTTACTACTATCTATGTATGTATATAAGGAGCATAGGTGAGTATATTTACCTATTTATTCCCGACTGAAGTTTTTAACCTGTGTGAGACACAAATTCACTGTGTGGCGACATGGTAAGTTTGAGTAAACTCGCTCGAGAAGGGTGGGTAACTCAATGACTTTCCTGGCCACAGAGTTTCTTAGTTTTAATATGGAAAGGACCGCATAAATGACTGATTATACTTGGTGAGTGAAGTTAAGTTAATTTTAACGGGTGCGTGGCCGTGCCACGTCCCACTTTTTAATCAGAGGCGAAAAGAAGTTTTATGGCGAGATGACGTAAGTAGTCAGAAAAGAAATTTTATCTAGGACCCTCCTCATGGTGCGAATTTTGTGAAAATGTTGGAAGGCAGTGAGATGTAGTACGATGCCATTTGTGAACACGTAGTGAGTTGAGTTGGAGTAGATAAATTTCAATTTCTTATGCAATTTGTAAGATTGGTTACTGAGAACTGGATAACTACTTGACGATAACCCGGTGTTATGCGATCAATAGGGACATTGATGGAGACTTGTCCAGGGAGTATGTGCCATTCTGCCAGATGACACAGCATAACCTTCCCGCGACAGAAAAAAAAGTGACTAAAGGCCTTATGAACAAAAAAGTGTTGCGACGGAGGGTCAGAATGTTCTAGAATTTTTATTTTTAAAATTTCGATTGGAAGAAGAGCATTTCTGAGAAATAGAAAAAAGACGGCCATTTTGAATGGAAAAGACGAAAATCAGAACCACGATATAGATTGTGAAGAACAGTTGTATCAGAGACAGAAAAATACGGAGCCTCTTATCGTGGCAAGAACACACGATAAGGACCTTAGCGACAGATATTTGTGGAGACGGAGGCTTCAGTGGGGGGAAGAGAAATACCACGGAACCCTCCCGGGACACGAAATATAGGAGATAAGAGTGTTATCTCAAGAAAATCACGGGAGCGGAGGCTTGGTCCCCCAGAGACTGTTATATGTGAAGGGACTGTGAAAACTGACTATAACAGCTGCTGTAATGTCTTAGATCTTAATTAACACCGTTATTATTTAATATTTCAGAGCATGAGTAGATAGAAAAAGGAAAGGGTCAATCCATCTCCAATGGATTTAATATAAAACTGTCACACAAAAACATAATAAAATAGGTTGTTCGAGCCGTGTTTTTAATGACAATCACGTAGTCTGAGGATCCGAGACTCAGCTATGTGGTTGTGTTCGCATGCAAACGAAAGCTGATCAAAAGTAGTTTGACTGATGGCCTAAAAATGGTAACTTTTTACTTTGCCCTAAACAGACCAGAAAATCAACTGGCAAGGTCGAGACGGTGAAAAACGAGTAGAATTAAGGTAACTGACGCCTGCCAGTCGTTGATAGGTACTTTTTCTACGCTCCGTCGCTGTGTGATATTTGGGCGAATGTTACAAGATAGTGTCCCTGACTCTTGAGCCAATGGTTATAGGGCCGATTCTTCTCAAGCCTTCTTCATATGTGACCGAAGTAGGCGACTGTTACAAATCTTTTTACCATAATCATTGATTTTGCAGCTTTATCCTGATATTATTGTGCTGTGATTAACTCCACTTGGTAGTTCCAGAACTTTCACAGCAGCTAGGTCCTTTCAAACAAAGGAAAGCTTGTGATTTTGTTTCTGGACACTTTCGAGTAGATATTATTCTGTCTTTTAAATAAGAATCTCCTTGAGAATACAGTTTTGCTCAACAGTAGCAGTCCATGACTCATTCTTCAAGCTTCTGATAAACTGTTCTGGTTCTGGGGGAGCGAAAACGCCAGAGTTTGAAGTTTTCTATAGCTCTGTTGGTTGTATGTTTTGGAAAAATGTGATTTTTCCTATCCTATTAATTGGAAATTGCTTGAGTTCTTCAGAAGCGCAAGTTCTGTAGGTTTTTTCCGTTTTAGCCACATGTTTTTTTGATTGGCGGAAAAAGTTCAATTAGTAGGATAATTTTAACTTCCTCTCTCTGTGAAGATTGCACAACAGTGCTGATTTTAAATCGATTTTTTGGTTTGCTTCAGGATTTGAGTTAATCAGAACTTCATGTTCTGTTGGGATTTATGAGTCTCGAAACTGTTCATTTGACATTGTTTTCTTTCAAGTCACTGAGCCCGACTCGTTAAGCTTTCTCTATTTTCTGTTGAGTATCGCTTCAGTCTTGTTTGTTTTTATAGTTTCTTCTTGGTTTCTTGAATTTTGTACTAACTTCTGAACTTCTGCGGTACAAATCAAAAGTTTTTTATATTGTGAAACCTCTTTTAAAATTATCAAAGAAGTTTATTAATTAATAAATTTTCGATCACACTCAAGGTTGAACAAACGTGTGCAGCTCATGACCAAGTTTTTTGCATGCTTTTTAAAAAGTAAACATTGTCGCATATTGTAAATTTTGGTTATAAACTAGTAATGGCGAGTCACATTAACACCCATTCGCTTCCTTACCTTCCAGGCAACACTTTTTCGGATCCAACTGTGAGTATATTTCCATTCAATCTTTGAATAATCCTCAATTGTTATCATGGTTTTAAAAAAACTTCTATTTCTTAAATTGTCTGTTTAGAAGTCCCGGTTTCATGTTCCTCAAACTCTAGATTTCAAAAACGGGTTTGCTCTAAAGCATAAACCTGAGGTTGGAATCGGCGGTGAGCCTATTCACCAGAATGCCCTGAACGAGGATGACTTGAATGAACTCGCCAATTTCAAGCCCACTTTGACATACGGACAGGCCAAACAAGCTCCCCCAGAGGAGTTTATACCATCTCACGTTGCATTCGATAAAAAGGTTTGACCATTTAATAGGTTAATGATTGGAAGCTTGAAAGGATCAGTTGATTATCAATGATTTTTTTAGGTGCTTCTGTTCAATGGCTACTTCAAGCAGACAGTGTATGAATCATCGGCAGAATACTACCGCGTACGACCAGTGAAAATTTACTATTATCTAGAGGATGACACTATATCTGTTATGGAACCACCAGTAGAAAACAGGTCCAGTGATTTTTATGCTGTTCTGACTAGAGATGAGTCGCTTGAAAAACATATAATTTTTTATCAAAACTTGATCGATCTTTGATGAAGGATGTAAAAAAAATAAATTATTATTTAAGCGGAAGAATCAGCTCATTCTTTATTTCATTTTTTTAAATTTAACTGAAACAAATGCCTAATTTGCATGCTTTGAAATTTTTAGATTCAACCATGTGCAGTTGATTCAACAACCTGAACAACTTTTATTTAACTAATAAGTTTTAGAGGTCTCGATTTATATTTATTTTAGATAAAACTGCTATTTGATGGGCATTATTATATTTTTTGACAAGATTTTTGACTTACTGATGAGAAAAATATCAAACTAAACAATTTTGCTATCCTCGTTTTCATGGCACTTCCTTTCAAAGTAAATTTTAATTTTCTAGCGGAATTCCCCAAGGAAAACTCATTAGACGACAGAGACTGCCTAAAGAAGACGCAACTGGCGAGCACTATACTTACAAAGATATCAAAATAAACGACACGGTGACCTTCTACGGAAAAGTTTTTCATATCACCAGCTGTGATGTGTGGACCAAGGTTATTGCTTTTCTTTGATAAAATCATAAATAGTGACGTTTCGGCATTAATTAGTGCACTGCCCTTTGCCTACGATAATTGTTCAAATGCAATTGAAGGTGACCTTTTCTGTCCCATCAAAAATACAGCTAACAAAAAAACGGGCTACTAAAGATCTTCCATCCTTTCAAACTATGCAGCTGAAAATTAATTGGCACTCTTTTTCAATTTTTCACTCAAAATTTTAACATCAAAGGTGGCATGAAAATGATGTCACGAACTGTGTAACCGAAATTTTACATCAAGTGTGATTCAAAAGATACAATATTGCTTTGCCCAGACGCTAAAGTAGCGGATCGTGTTTGGGAAAATATTGACATGTTGGTACTTTGGCTGCTTTAAAGGCCACTATTAAAAGTAGTAATTTGTAGGAGTACTTGACTAGCCAAGGCCTGGTTGTCAACAACTTTGTGGAAAGCCCGCCAGATCCGTATGAAGAAGACAGGAAACGAAGAAATGCACCTAAAACATTCACCACAAAATCTGATTTTGACAAACTCAACCAATTCTTGACTCTTGATCGCAAGGTTAGTTTAACGATCTACATCTGAGCCAATATAAAATGCGTTCACAGAAAAAATTGTCTCTATTATCAGTCTTATGATAAAAAACCCAGTTTTGTATCTTACGACTTTTTAAAAAAATCGCGGGCATGAAAATGTTAAATCTTGTAATATTTTGACTGACAGTATTCCATTTAAGGTTCTTTATAATGCCGTTCTCAATGACTTTGGTTATGCACGTTAATATATTTGGTACTTGAACAAAACTAACTTTGTTATAGAAGTATTGCAGAATGCTTTAAACATAGTATTGTTTGCAAAACGTTCGCAAGCTTCAAAAAAAATCAAAACTATTGTTCACTTTCCAAAGATTTTTCTGTTTTTTTTGTCTTAAGGCTCTTCGATTTTTGATGTTTGAAGCTTGAAAGGCTATTCAATTTATGTTTCCTCTGGTTCAGAAAATTGACTTTAATTGTTTGTTATCACTACTTTTTGAGTTCATCGATCTTCTTGTTCTTCTGTTGATGTAAAACTCGCATCTCAAAATAACTTGAATTCAGCCTCAGCCGTATACTAAATTTTGTGCTCCTTAATGTTCTTCATTTCAGTGCAATTTTCTTGCTAATCTCTCCTCTGTATCGCTTATGATGCGAAATTCAGTTTTAGCGAAATTCAGTTTCTCAAGATGGGTTTAATTTCACGAGAAAGGTTTACCAGAAAGGTTGCCAGAAGGTTTGAAAAATGTTGCGGTCAATATTTTAAAGCATATAAGCAAATAAAAATGATTTTTGTTTTGACCATTGAAAATGGGGAAGAACTTTATTTCGGGTGTGTTTTTTTGTTTTCTACGTAAAATCAGGTACCACAATTAATCATCGGAATAGATCGAGCGACATATCAACTTAAAGCCCTTTCAGACGCGATTCAAACGCATTTGAAAATATTCAAAAGTTGTCTCAATGTTGAGAAACATTGGCCTAAATATTTTCAGTTTCATTTAAATTTCGAGCGAGGAAAGCGATCGTGTAACGTTCGTTATATAAAAGTTTAACATTTTTAAATTTTAGCTTCTAAAGTAAAAAACTTTGATTTCACTAAACAAAAACTAGTTTCGGAAATTTAATCTAGCGCTTCCTTGCCTATAAAGTTTTTCTAAATTTTTTTTCTAATTTTCTTTCAATTCTTGAAGACAAATGTTGTCGATTATGCCTTCTTTATAAACTTTTACGCGTTTTGAGTTCTCTAATCACATCACGCTCTAAAAACGACCTTAAATTGAAAAAAAAAACATAGAAACATTTCTCTTCGCAATCAGTACTGTTGGCTGGATATTATTTGAGTTTTCACTGCATTTTCTAACCTTGAAGGTTTCTGAAAATTGTTTTGTGATTGCTTTTGGGTGAATCGAAGGTTATGGATGTTGAAAAGTCATGGAAAGATCCTGAAACAATATTTGTCTTGACACCAGATGCGGATCTAGGTTTTTTGAGGGGGGATTTTCTATTAAATTTTGAAAAAAACTTCGATCAAACTTTTCAGCTGGACAATGGCTCGAATAACGACAATTTCTGTACTTTATGACAAAACTTACTAGAAAAAAAACGTGAATTCATGATCTAAACTTCAATAATGGCTTCGCAGTTTGTGATAATTTTTTATTTTGTGGATCTCAAGTGATACAAAACATTGCTTAATTTCTGACGCAATTTTTTTGACGTATTGTCATTTGCCAGTTCAGGAAAACATGCATTTTTAATATAATTTTTAAATAGCCTTTAACAAAGTCAAGACATTTATTTAGTTTTTGGGTTATATTCTGGAAAGCGTCAAAACTATTGATTATGCTAGAGTTTGGTTTTTCGCGGTTTGACAGGAAAAGAAGGGAGTGTGAATTTTAAAAAAGGCAAAACACAATGCAATAATCAAAGTGCAAATGCTGCAAAACATAACGTTAAGGAACTTCAGTTTCCAAATTTAAAAAAAAAATCAGGTTACCCTACGGAATAACATTTTTACATATTGAAAAGTTATCAGCTAAAATAGAGGTTGTACAATAGTACCGAAGGGGGCCCTTTGGGTGACGTGGGGTCAAATCCCTAAAGCAAACCCAACCCCCCCCCCCCCCCCCCCCCCGCCCCTCATAAGGCCTCTACTGCTATTGATCCAGTTTTCTTGAATTTGCTAAAGTTCATCACAAAAGTGTCAGTCATTAAAATGTCATTCCTGAAGTTAACAATTTTTCAATCCAACTTCATATTAGTTGAAAAGTTCCCGCGGTAGGGGAAAATTTTTTTTCAGATAAATCATGAAACTAAAACACGTTTGATGGTCAAAAACTTTGTGTGCATCATGAAACAAATCTTACAAAGAAAAAAATATCAAGACCGTTTCAAATTTGATTTGAGTTGAAACAAATTCTGAAAACGATTTTCCCATTTTCAGTTAAACCAACGTCTGTAAAACGCATAAAATTGGGCAATTCAGATGCAAAGTTGAGGAGGCAGAGCAATAAGCAGAATGGTTCAAGTGCAGAAAACCAGCAAAATATTGACTTTTATTGGTTTATACGGGCTAATTGATAAACCAACAAGACTGCTCGTATCAGGGCGAATCCCTGAATGTTCCGACTGCCTTTTAAGGTTTTATGGAGCAGTAATAACATTAAAAGTTAAATGTAATAAAATAAAACTTAAAATTTTTTTTTTTTCTAAAATTTGAATTTTTTATGAAAATCATCCCCCCACACTCCATATTAAGTACAAAAGGATAGCTTTCGCTCCTTGTAACAAATCAATTATGGCAAACAAGCTTCTTTCAACCAATTTGGAACAATTTTAAGACGGATTAACTCTCCGCTTACGCGTTAATAGCGCGAAATATATTGCGCGTTAATTGTCCCAAATTGGCCAAAATGGCAATCTTTAAACCCCCATAACTTTACAAAAAATGATCACAGGTGAAATATCTTTTCAAATTTGAGCTCATCACAACAATAGCTTTCGAATGATACAAAAAAAATTCCGTCAAAAATGGCTAGTTAAAAAGTTGAAATTTGTCTGAAGAAAAAAAAACCCACCCCGAGCACAAATATTCCGTTACTTTCGTATCGAAAGTCGGAACAATTAGTAGAATTGTCAAAAATTACCCAGAAAATGAATAAATTATGCATGAATTGAATAACTTCTTTATTTTTTTGATTAAAATATAAAAGAAAAGATTCTTGATTAATTTTTTCTCAAATTGTGCATAAAATGTTCGTTGCTTTTGGTTCTACACTTCTGATAGTTACTTTACTGGTTAGCTTACAAAAATTATTATTTTAACAATTTTTCTGCTCTTGGACCTTTTCTGCTCTTAGACCATTCTGCTTATTGACTGGCCACCAAAATTGAAGATAAAATTGACAAACAAAAGGCATGATAATAGATAATAATCAAATAAAATAGTAGCAAATAGATTAGAAATTGGGATTATAATATTCGATTATAATGAATTAAAATTGTATCGAAAATCAGATGCATGAATAATTGATTATAATAAAATAAAATACATTATAATTGATCATAATTTGTTTTCAAAGAGAGGTAATAATCAATTTTTAATTGATTATAATAGATTATTTCTCATTTTTAGTAGGACTGGTACTGAATCATAATATTATATACTATTAACTCTTGAAACTGGATGCGGGTTGATATATTTTTTTTTCAAAAGGATTCAAAAATAGTTAGGCAGTGTATTCAGGAGCGGATCTAGGATTTTCTCGGGGGGGGGGGGGCGGATTTTTATAAATTTTCGAAAATTTTGGCGACCTTTTTTTAGATAGACCAATATGATTTTTCGAGCTCTCTCAAAGTCCCTGTGTTTTGGCTAAAATTTCTGCGCCACAGGCAAAATTTTGGAAAAAAACAGGCCAAAAAAGGCGTTTTTAAGAACTTTTTGGACAATTTTGAAGGCGCCTTTAGAAAAGTTTTGGGCCCGTCACCAAAAAAGGATATCTCAAAATAGATCCCCCCCCCTAAATCCGCCTCTGGTTCTATTAATTTTCTTGAGCTCATTGACATTTTTGCAATTGTATGTTGACTATATCTTAGGTTCTGCGGTTCTTCTGTATCTGGGATGACCGCGATGCAATGTTCGGAGATGTGCGACCATTCATCATTCACTACTACTTGGCGGACGACACTCTCGAGGTCCGAGAGGTGCACAAGACGCCCGAAGGCCGAGACAGAAACGACGGAAGGGATCCGTTCCCTCTGCTGCTCACGAGAATGAGGGTGCCCAAGAACCTCTACGACATTCCACGTTGGCACATTTAGTTGTTGAAAGTCTTTGTAAAGTAGTCCGAACCTAATATTTAATTCGGATTTTTTGGCTTGTAGAATTTTTTTTTGCGCTTTTATATATCGAAGTGTGCAAAGTTCAGCGGAAACCGATAATTGAACAGGACTGCTTATATATCAGGGCGAAGAACTGAATGTTCCGACTGCACTTTGAAGTCGATTCAAATTTGTTTTTATTTAAAAGTAGACGACATAATAAAAAAAAGAAAAACGTTTTTTTCTCTCTCTTCAATTGATCCCTCATACGTTAATGTAAAATTTGAAGGGATGTAGATAGCGTCTTGTATCAGAGTAATACGACCAAATGACTTGCCTCAGTTTAATTTGGAACAAACTAGCTGCCGCTTACGCGGATTATAAGAGCGCAATATATCGCGTGTTAATTGTTCCACGAAAAAAATCATTGGTGAAATAAGAGCTCAGGATAGCAATATGTTTCAGATGGTTTTAAAATTTTGTCAAAATTGGCTAACTAAGAAGTCGAAAATTGACTGAATGAAAAAACCAGACCAAGCATAAATATTCCGCACTTTTTTGAAAGTCGGAACAATTAGAAGCTAATAAAAACCATTTACAATGCTGAAACTGTTCACAGTATTTGTAAAGTTGTAGCATTTTTGTTCACAGAGTAGCTAAAAAGAAAGTTTCATTTTTCAAGTTTCTAAATTCTCCAATCTTTGTATTGTCTGATATGTGTGTTAGGTTATCGTTGCATTGTTTAAATTTTTGTATCTGATATAACTAAATAGATTTTTGATTTTTTTGCTTTTGTTTTCAACAGCCATCGGGTACTAGAATTTTGCGATCGGGTAGAGTATTGCTCGGGTACTAGAATTTTTCTCGTAAAAACGTTTTTACAGGACTCATCTCCTTGACTCATTTATCTCCTGGTCCTCTCTGTTAAAAGTCATGCAACAGACAAATTTTGAGCATGTTAGCATTTTAAACATCCGTCCTAATAGAAGTTTGTTTTTTATGTTGATTGTAATTTTAATTTTACCCAGTTGATTTTTTAAAATTTATTTTTTGTTCTTTTTTTGGCTTAATAGGTTTCTGTTTAGAGTTATATTGATTTAGTTGATATATTGGTTTAGTTGATATATTGGTTTAGTTGATATATTGGTTTAGTGTTATATTGGTTTAGTGTTATATTGGTTTAGTGTTATATTGGTTTAGTGACCTCATATTGCACCGTTTGATGAGCAAAAGAAATTTTTGTGCGCGGGTGAGTAAGTTTTGTGGGTGAGTGGGCTTGAATTTTTCTTCTATGCCTAAAAACTTTTTGATTTTTTTTAGCTGGAACAGTTTCTGCTCATGTATTTTTTGGATTTTTAGCGCTTAATACGTATTCTTCCGAAGCTTATTTCCTATTACATTGTCTGGGCATTGCTTTATGGTTGTCTATTAAGCTCTCGGTTTAGTTTCTCAATTTTGTATATCACCTTGCATTCACTTCCTATATGGCCTTCGTGAGTGGACAGTACGTATATTTTTCCAATAAGATTTAGCCGATTTTTTTTGGTTGATTTTCAGCCTACTAGCTATCGGCTTTAATTATGTCAGCTTATTCTCCTAATTTTTTTTATTTCCTACAATTTCTGATAATATAAATGAGAATTATAAGATTCTGACCCAAAATTTTCGAATGCCCAAAATTAATTTCGCATTTTGATTTTTTTCGTTTTCTCATGCTGTTTTAATCCTTTACCTATTGTATAGTAAGTGGTGCGAAGCGAAGCTTCAATTCTGCATAGAAATTGATTCCCAATGCTTGAACCTAGCTGATTAAAATTAACCAAAAGCAAGGAAAAGCTCGAGCTTTTTTTGAATTTCAAAACTCACTCAACATCTTACCGTTTTGACGCGTATCAGCAAAAAATTTGATTATTTGTTGCAGCAAGTTTTCCTACCATTTCGATGGAGGCGAAGGAGACGGAGCACCAGGAGTACTTCACTCCCGAGGACTTCATGATTGGGAACACAGTGACGATGATGAACAGACGATTCCTCATCTACGACATGGACAAGTTCACCCAGGAGTTCTACCGCTACAACTACGGAATCAAGAGTTTCGAGCCGGTTCCGGTGGGACCCCCTGCCTGCGATGCACCCAAAATGGTAAATGATAGAAGGGTTCTGAAGCATACGATCTTAAAAATAGTATTAATACTAATAGCCACTGATAATTAAGCTGCAGTGTGTGTTAGTATTCTAGATTATTCAAGTTTTAAACGATCAAATTGTATTTGCTTGTTTCGAAAACGTCCATTTCGAGCTTTTGAAGATTTCAATGGAGAATTTTTTTACCGATATGGAGCGTATCATTATAAAATACCGTGTTAAAATTTCACGTCTATTAAATAATTGAGTGTAGTGAGTTTATTGGATGAAATTTTTATAATTCTCTGATTTGATAAAATCAGAACTCATATTTGTTTGCAGTACATTCCGCCCTACAATGGTTTCGGCTCCTTGGAGGACTCTTTGGGCTCCTGCTTTCACTTGGAGCCCCAACCGCCCAGAAAGGACTTCATTAAGATGTTGTCCAACGACCACAACAACCTGCGATTCCTCGCACAGATGGTAAAACAGATTCTTGAAAACAGAAATTTTAAGTCACTTCCAGAAACGTTATGCATACATTTGGATAAACCACTTGGCTCTTTTAATCAGATATATGTTTTTGTTGTTCGTTTTCAAACTGTGTTCTGATCGTTTATCTTATTTCGTAACTAAGGTCATTTCAAGGCTGTTTACATCCTAAGCCTTGTCACCATCTTTTCTCGAAATGGTCACCGCTTTACTAAACAATAAAGTGTACAATAGGAATAGAAAAACGAATATTAGTAGTTTAAGAATATTACAGCCTGTTCGAATTTAGTGCCTTTTTGTTTGCAGGATGACAACGATGAGAATGAGAACGCAGACCGCGAGTTCATAATCTACTTCAGCCTTGCTACGGACACCTTCATGATTTACGAAGTGCCTGCTCGCAATACTGGACGTCTCGCTGGTAAGTTCCTCATGCGTACCAGGATCCCCAAACCTGGATGTGACATTAATGAACCAGAGTTCTACGGACCCCAGGATTTGGCGATTGGCGACGTTGTCTACGTGTTCAACAGGAGATTCAAGATCAAAGATGCCGATGTTTTCGTCCTGAACTACCTGAAAGAAAATAAGCATAAGTTCCCTGGAATTGATAGAACCATCAAGTCTTTGGAAAATCTACATGCTAATAACCAGCTCGGAGTTGGAATGATAATGGACTCCCAAGCACCCGCTGGATTGTCGTGAGTTTTTTAAACTAAAAGTTAAATTCTTTGACAAAAAATTTCTAACTAATGAGGTCACGAGCTAAAAGAGGTTTATTTAAACAATGCACCAAACGAATAGTTTCAATAGTAGTGTAGTTCACATTTGTCCTAATTATTGAGCATTAAATTGACGGTTTTAAAATGATTTTGTTTCTGAAATTAATTCCGCGTTAATAAACCGGGAATGTTGTTTTTGGCACTGTAGAAAGTAAAGTATTCACGTTCATCATCAATCACACCCACCCTAGTTTGTGATTAGAGTAGTTCCTTTCCTTTATTGAAGCTTTCTTCCCTTTCATCCTGATTAATCGATTTTCACTGGTTTTCAGCTGTTTAATAATGTAGGTTACTGCACTTAGCGTGAAATTCAGAATTATTTCGGATTATTCAAAAAAATGATTTGAAGGCTGATGTTTTTCTTGCTGATTTTTCAATTTAGAGGTCAATTAATCAAAATTTCTTGATGGTTTCAATTTTCAAGTGAAACGATTTCTTTTCAACTTTGGTCAGCGAAGTTTAAAGGGCTTGTTTCTTACAAGGGTTTTTGCAACACTCAGCCAAACATCTTGTTCATCTCCATAGATCAGTAGCCATGATTTTCAAATTTTCGCTTGAGCTATTGCTTTCTTTGTCACTGATTAGCTTGATTTATCTTTGAGTCAACAGCCCCTCCCCCTCGACCTCTCCATTCCCCCCTCCCCTCCGGCTTTTCGAAACTTGATGACTTTCATCAATTTTTTTTCAGCCTCGATTATTTATCTCCTTGGTTGATTCTGTTGGTCATAGTTAGCATATGCCCGTAGATTTTTAGTTTTATACTAGCTATCAATAACTGAAGTTTGTTGTGGATTTAGTTTTAGTTATGATCTGTGTATCATCATTTATTGTGCACGCTTGTATTAAAATGAGTATAGACTACTAATATCTCTACATTATTTTGAAAACAATATAATAATTCGCTGGTAATTTTGCACCTGTTTTACGATGCCTACAAGTCTCATGTTTATTTTTCTTCATCTTATATACATGTTTTTATACATAAAAAAACCGATATCAGATCGGAAATTGATTGTGAGATGATCGTAAAAGTTTTTCATCTAAAACTGTGATAACATGAAGCGAGTCCTATTTTTTTGAGGACACAAAAATCATTTAAGTTTTTAAAAATTAACAAAGCGAGATCTGAAAAAGTTGAGCGCGAAGCTGAAAATTTGCTTTCCTTTATTAAGTTTTCATGCATCTGGCCAATTTTCCTCGCTTTTCGTTGCAGAACTAAATTGAACTTTTGTTCACGGATTGTCGTAAAAAAGAAAGGAGGGAGGAGAAAGGAAGGTAGGGAGTAAGAGAGGAGAAAGAATGAGAGGCAGATTGTTAGGTTGATTATATCAGTCGAATTTTCGACCAATCAGAACTCAACATAGTTAAGAATCTTAATACAAAGTGCTAGTGCTAATGTACAGTATTTTTAGGGGCGGAGATTCTTTAGTAGATAGCATAGGGGAGGGGGGATTCTTTAGAAGATAGCATAGGGGGGATTTTAAGTTGGAGATCCAAATTTGTTTTATTGCTAATTACCTTAACCAGAAACTATAAGTTTTTTCGGCTAAGAGAATGCGAATGCGACTCTGTGGGGTACGCACCGTAACAATCTTCCTATTGCAATAAGGATTATTGCTAGAGTCAATATTCGAACGAGCTTACAAGTTGTCCCTTATATAAGAGAGCCGACTAGGTGCGGGAGGTTGCTGCAACGATCCAATTTATTCAGACGGAAAAAGCCCATCCTTTAAAACAAATAACAAATAAAGTCGTTTTTTTTTGTAATTTTACTATAAATTAAGAAGAGTAGCCATACGCTGGGCAACTAGTATGCTGTGCAAATACAATTTCATAAAATTTAAGTTTTTCAAAAAATTTTTGCTGTGAAAATATCAACGCATTTTGTTAGACGTTTCAAGCAGATAACAGAACCATTACTCTGCTACTTGCTAAATTTGACTCTGATCCGCAAAAAATGCATTCGTCATTTTCTCGACACAGCAAAGTTTTCCATTTTTTAAATTCGTAATCCAAATGACGACTGGATATCACATTTTCTGCAACCAAAGATTGCCTCAGATCTTAAAAAAAAAATTTCTCTGGTCGAAAAAATTAAACTTTGTTTCTTTTAGCGATACTCGCAAGGCAGAGTTGGTACAGACACTGAGTGAGCAGTTGAGAAGGGCGCACTTCAACCGCTTCTTCAGCATAAGGGAGGCCTTCCTCAAACTGGACTTCAACAGGGACAAGTACGTGCAGCCGGAAGAACTGGCACACTTCATTAGCCAGCTCAACATCCCCATCGAGACATACCTAATTAAGGAGGTGAGTACAATCTTCAATCAATATTTTTAAATTTGGTGTGTTTTGATATTCATGATTAATTAAGTACAAAAAAAGAACATTTTTACAGTTTTCAATTTTTTGATCATTTTTGTCTGTGAGTTATGATAACCATTAGCTTTAATATTTTTAATCAGTTTTTTGTCTGTGAATGTTCAAGTAAATGAATATAAGAAATTGAAAAAAAACTCCGAAATGTTGTAAAAAAGGAGAGTTATTATTGGTTAGCTAGGTAGTTGGTGGGTTTTGAATCTTGGTTTTTGAGCGGTAAGTTTTTCAACAAGGTTTTAATTTATCATAAATATTGTGCATGTCAATACTAGAGGGTGGCTGTGTAAGAAGCCAAATTTTTTCTGCCAAACTAACGTTGGATGAAACGCATATTTGTCTAAAACGAGTAGGATTTTTTGTAATTTGCATGCAGCTCAAATCATGGCCGTAAGTGCTTCAATATGATATCCCATTTTACCCCATGGGACGTTTTTTGTGCTGCCTGGCTCAGGGCGACAGAAACTTCTCTAGCCTCCTGAAGGAATCTGGACGAGAAATGAATAAAAAATACTGCGAAGTTGCGATTTTTCTCTTGTGAAACTCAAAATTTGTGTATGATACTTTCTTGAACAACATTTTTGTTGCAGATATTCAAGGTCATTGATACCAACCATGACGGAAAGATTAGCTGGGAGGAGTTCATTGAGTTCATCGAAGCCGCCGGGTGCCAAGACGGTTGATCAAACACTACCACCGCGTGAACAGACTGAACTGCATTCATGCACTGAAATCATACTTGATCGCCATAGAAATATATATTTGTTGCAAAAGTAAAGTGTGTACCATATACTAAATAGACTTAAATAAGTGCATAATCAAATAAATGCGTGTGCTCAAATCACCATAACAGCTTGTATGTACATATGAATTTAAATGGAAAATTTAAACAAAAAATGTCTCGACAGAAAATTTTCTCTCACAATTAATGAGACCAAGCATGTTTCCCCCCATCAATAGCAAAAATCAAGTGTACTTTTTTATTGCAACCGATCGTTTTAAAGCAATCAAATCCTTTTCCTAAGATTACTTGGCCGCCTTCTTTTTTGATTTTTGTTCTAATTTTGAGCTTATTAGTAAGGTAGTTAGTAATTGCAGTAGCTTATTTAAGCTTAATTTAAGCCATGAAAACATAGTCTTACTCAAGTAAAGGTAGTTTTTGGAATTTTTTTAGTCATTATTCTTCAAAAACTGTTTTCCAATTGACCCATTTTACTTTTCAGACAAAGCTCTATATAGCTTGTTGATATTGTTTCAAAACTAACGTTACCAGATTTAAACACGTTTCTAATCATACAATTTCAATCATTTCTTGTCTGAAAAATTTCTTGACATACAATTCCATAGAATTCCATACGTACACAAAATTATATGAAATCTCTATGACAAACACTTTTACATGCATGAAAATTGTATAGCTAGCAGTTTTTTTCACAATAAAAAATTATTGTCTTTGTAGTTACGCTAAACATTTCAGTCTTGTGTTCTGAAACACAAAAACAAAAAAAAAGATTTTCTAATCTAAAAAACCGTTAGTTAAGGGGAAGAAACCTCACAGATAAAATGCAATTGTGGATTACATGAATGAGATAACATTTCATAGATCACTCTGAACTATGAGGAAAAACTGTAAACTTTTGCATATGGCTAGAAAGTTTTTAGGCCAAAGATTTATAGGTCACTATTTGCTGCCTGTTTTTTTTCAACAGATAAGAAAAAAAATCCTTTTAACTTGGAGGTTTTGGAAGTTTTTTTTGCAGCAATGTAAATTGTGTTTATCATACAGTTATCATATATGAAAATTTATGATGAGCATTTTTCTTGTTTGAAGGTCAACCCAGGCATTGAGATGCAATTTCAGAATCGTTTCAGATAAGAGTACACTGTCTATTTGACACGCTATCTTTTGTCGACTGAAGTTTTTTAGCGCAATTTTTGTTTTTCTAGTCATTATTCTTCAAAAACTGTTTTCCAATTGACCAATTTTACTATTACTCTGAAGTATTTCTCAGGTTTTTTTTTGTTCAAATTTTTATAGCAACATGCAGAAAAAAACGACACCAGTTTGAGAAAACAATTTTGTATGTTTTTCAGAGTGTGGTCGGAACATTCTGTGCTACTTGTACAGTAACCGGCTATCCTTGTTAAAAATAGTTTTTAAATTAGAGGGTTAAATCAAAGCCTTACAGAAAGTGAAAGGTCAATTGCCTAGACAAACAAAAATGCAAAACATACAATTTCCCTTTTACGGAACACAAAAATATATATTATATAAATATTGAACTTGCATTTTTCCATAATAAGCCCGAGTACGAATGATTGTACTAGGGTCCCTCGCCACGGTTGATAGCTTCTCCCCCTTCTTCTTTGGAACTGCTTTTAATAGTGATAAAATTATTTTAATGGCTCTTTTTTCCAATTAACACACCTGTGAGATAGCTCTCGTCGAGGAAATGCAGTGGTCGACGCTCCCTCATTGGTCTCATTTTGAACCAGGTTGGTTCTTCATTTTTTCAGCGTATGATTGTTCTGATTGGGGTTTTAGATGCTCCTGCAGGATGCGGCTGGGAAAATTTTGTCCTGACACCAAAAAATGCACCACTTCCAGAATTTTTTTTGTAGCTGAAAACAACTTTGAATTAACACACCCATGAATTAACTCACTTTGAATTAACACACCGAGCTCGGTATGTTGATAGTCTTTTATTGCAAAAGTTTTTTTGCTTTACCACAAAAAAATGATTATTTTCTCGACTTGTTCTAAGTCTTTTCTCCGCGCGGTTTTTTAGGGGAATCGAACTACGTAGCAGTTCACTGTGAAGAGGCCCCTTCCCGTTAGGAAAAGTTCAAAAATCCTAAAACTTTTGATATCAATTGGGTCGTAAGTGGTATTTTTCAGATCAAAAATTGGACACTTGGGGTATAGATGTGGGAGATAGATAGTATATAACAAGGAGGATAAGTTTTTACTAGCCGTTGATTAATATTACTATGTCTTCCTCTACACTACAATATCCGAATTAAGACCTTTAACTCTGAAATTTGCAACCGGCGGAGGCTACAACTGGAACGGTCCAACTGTGCCCTCCACAACCTAGATTTATTGAAAAAGTACCCAAACTATACTGAAAATGTGTTAATGATACCCAATCGTCGTTGTGGATGTTGTCCTGACTGCCCTGATGTGTCTGGAGTGCGTCTGTCGGATTGACACTCTAACTTCCGGTAAAATTATCATAAGCGTGCTTAATTATTCAAAGAACACTGGGCACCTAACAAACAACCAAAACTCTCACTCTTTCGATAAGGAATGATGTAAATCAATCAAAAACAACAACAAATAGAAATTTCGAATCACATCCCGTCCCGAAATGATATATAATTTGTCATTTTATGTTTTTTTTGCTGTTTTTTGTTCTTTTTTGTTTTAAAATGAATTTGTTTGTGTTTTTTATGTTTTTATGCTTTTTTTGCAGTTTTTTTGTTCTTTTTTGTTAAAAATGAATTAGTTGTTTCTTAGTTATACACTATTTTTCTTTAGTTTTATGCTCTCTTTTTAACTGTTTTCGGTCCCAGAGCCTCAAAAGAAGTGGGTTCATGACTACCCACCTAACCCTCCGGCCCCCAGAATTTTAGGATTTAACTAGGTTAATAAGCTAAATTGTAGTAGTCGGAGGTCTGAACCTACCCTACCGTCTAGTACAATACAGGACACTAAAGCCTCAAATCGGGCATACGCCCGGGGCGGAGGGTCCGTCGTTGAAACGTTTGCTGACTACGATGGTCTATTGCCTCTAACAGGCCCACGCATGAGCGCCATAAAAAATCTATGTAACATTTGCCCGGAAATCACACAGTGGCGGAGCGTAGAAAAAATTCCTATTGACGACTGGCTGACGTCAGTTATCTTAACTCCACTCGTTTTTTCTTCGTCTCGACCTAGCTAGTTGATTTTTGGTCTCTTTAAGGGCTAAACCATCATGTTACCGTTTTTGGTCATCAGCCAAACGAACTTTACTCAGCTTTCGTTGTACGCAACCATAATCCCATAGCTGGGTGTCGGATCCCCAGACACCGTGATTACTACTAAAAACAAGGATAAAAACCATGATTTATACTTTTTTTTGACAGTTACATATCAAATCCGTTCGAGATGACTCGACCCTTCCCTCGACTTCTAACTACTCATGCTCTGAAACACCAAACAGTTATTGGAGTAATTTAATCGTTCAGGGCATTTCAACGCCTAGAACACCGTTAATGTTCTTTAAAAAATCTGTGGGCGCCGGGCCTCCAATTCCTATCACTTCCGGTGATAACGTAGTTATCGCCTGACTTGTGGTGCGTGGGAGGCTTCGTATCCACGCCAATTGTCCCACTGGACCTTCCTTCTCCACAGTTTCCGGTGGATAAGCTCCTTATCGTGCACTCGTGTTACAAAGATAAATTTTGGAACAATCTGAGCCTCGATCTCAAAGTTTTTCTTCAAATAACGCCTTTAATAAACGTCTCGGCGTGCGTCGGTTGGTTCGGCTGGGCCGTCCAGCCAAACGGGTCATTCAGAGGGGCCGTTGCAGATAGCTGAGCCAGTGTGCGCTTCGACACAGAGGTCTGTTGCGGATAGAGGCTCTGTTGCGGATATCAGAGCCCTTGTTTGCTACGACCGAGGGTCTTTTGCAGATAGCAGTGCTAGTGTATAAGTGGCCAGAGTGGCCGTTGTAGGTAGCTGAGCCGGTGTGATCTTCGACAGAGGGGTCTGTTGCGGATAGCAGTGCAAGAGTGGGCTTTGAAACAAGGTCTCTTGCGGACAGCAGAGCCTGTTTGTGTTAAATTACAAGGTTTGTTGCGGATAGCAGTGCAAAAGTCTGTTTTAAAAGAAGGTCTGTTGCGGATAGCAGAGCCATAGTGAACTTTGACTGAGGCTCTGTTGCGGATAGCAGAGCCCTTGTTTGCTTCGACAGAGGGTCTGCTGCGGATATCAGAGGCAGTGCGTGCTTCGACAAAGGGATCTGTTGTGGATAGCAAAGCCATGGTGTGCGTTGACAGAGGCTCTGTTGCGGATAGTAGAGCCCTTGTGTGCTTCGACAGAGGGGTCTGTTGCGGATAGCAAAGCCATAGTGTGCTTTGACAGAGGCTCTGTTGCGGATAGCAGAGCGCTTGTGTGCTCCGACAGAGGGTCTGTTGCGGAGATCAGAGCCAGTGTGTGCTTCGACAGAGGGTCTTTTGCAGATGGCAGAGCTAGTGTATACTTCGCCTGAGGGGCTGTTGGGGATAGGAAAGCCAGTGTTTAATTTGAAAGAAGGTCTGTTGCGGATAGCGGAGCCTGTGTGTTTAATGCCAGAAGTTTTGTTGCGGGTAGCAGTGCAAGAGTATGCTTTGAAAGAAGTTGTGTTGTGGATGACAGAGCCTGTGTGTGATAAGTCGGAAGGATTGCTGCGGGTAACAGTGCAAGAGTCTGCTTTAAAAGAAGGTCTGTTGCGGATAGCAGAGCATGTGTGTGTTATGTCAGAAGATTTTTTGAGGGTGCTGTCAGAAGATTCAAGAGTGTGCTTTGACAGAGGCTCTGGTGCGGATAGCAGAGCGCTTGTGTGCTTTGTCAGAGTTTCTGTCGCACGCGGACATCAAAGCCAGTGTGTACTTCGCCAGAGGGGCTGTTGCAGATAACTGAGCCAGTATGTGTTTTGAAAGAAAGTCTATTGCGGATAGCAGAGCGCGTGTGTGTTGTGTCAGAAGATTTTTTGCGGGTAGCAGTGTAATAATGTGCCCTGCAAGAAAGTCTGTTGCGGATAGCAGAGCCCTTGTGTGCTTCGACAGAGGTTTTGTTGCAGACAGCAGAGCCAGTCTGTACTTAGACGAAGAGTCTGTAACGTGTAAATCCGGTGATTGATCAATCTCAAAACTTGTAGGTTGAA